GTAGACGGCATTGTTTTTAGATGATGGTTTTGATAGGCCACTGTAAACATAAATGATTTAACCATTTTCCCTCATATTTAATCTCATAAATAAATTAGAAAGTAACAGAAAGTTACTATTTTTTTTTTCCCACACTGCAGTTTGGGACAGAGATGACATCCAGCTATTACATCCTTCTTCCTCCTGTTCCTCATATTCCTGTTACCGTCTTGTCTACCCCATATTCCTGTTACCATCTTGTCTACCCCATCTGTGTTTCTGTTGTAAAACTTGCTAGGTATCTCAGTGTGGAATCTACACATGGGTTTTTGTTTTAAGCATTTCTGTCATAAAATGCAAATCACATCGTGGATGGACATGCAAACATTAAGGGCTGGAGTATTTTTATGGTATCCAAAATACACAGAAAATTCAGCTTTATCTTTCACTGGTATCCAGGCAGATGTGAATCAGAAAAACATCCTGCACTGTTGGAAAATATCTTTGTGGGGGAAGCTTCCTTCGGCTTTTGAGGCTCTCTGGGCACTTCTTTCCTGACTTCTTCCTGCAGCTGGATTCGGTGGTTTACCTGCTCCTCGCGGATGTCCCACCACGCAGTTCTGTCACCCAGTTTACTGCAAAAGAGACACCGCAGACGTTTTTCTTTTCACCTCCTGTCAGTCTTGTGTGGTTGTTTCCTTTTATCTTGAGGATGGAGTTGTTTGTTTGGTCTTTAAGTATCTAAGTCCATCCAAACAACCCGCACTGGCTTTAGCACTACTCCAAACCGAATCCATAAGCTGTTTGGAGGCTGTTTGGAGGTACCTGTCAGACTGTGACATCTCCCCCAGTTCCACTGCTTAAGGAAGAGAACATTTGTTTCTACAGCACCTTTCTACTCCATCTCATACTACACCAGGTACCTAAAGAGGCAGAACCTACCGACCGTGGCCTCTGTTTTGGGAAGTTCAGGTTAAAAAAAAAAATTCTTCTTTTACGTATACATTGAGTGCTCTAAGCACTGAACCCTTGAGTAACTGGACTGCTCGGCCACCTCTTTGTTTTAAGGTCCTGGTTCCTGCCACAGTTTATGCGGAGCCTGATCTATACACTCTTATGAAGTGCTGTGAACCACTTTTTCCTCCAACTCTCTTGCCTGACTAATTCCTTAGGTGAGATGGGTAAAGGATCCAGTTTATGGATCTTGAAAAGGTTGGTACAAATACGGAGGAGGGAGTTTGTGCCGGGCAGAAACGAGCTGTCTCCAGCACGTGGTCCATGGAATGCTCTAATAAACAGAGGTAACCACAAGGCCTTGTGCCACAAGGCATAAAGTGCTGCTGTTACAAAGTAAGCACACAAATTCTAGGTACTTGCCTATGTTTCAATCAGAGCCTAAAAAATACTGTTTTCTTAGAATCAACTTACACAGCCCTTTAATGACAGAGAAACAAGACACTGAGAGCAGCCTAAAGATTTTGCTCTTCCTAGAATCCCCTGGGTGAACTAACTCCAGGTAGTGGTTCCTGGGGAGCTCTGCAGTAACGATGTGACGCCTTCCCTCCCGCAGATGTGTTTGCCCTCGCTCTGGCCATCAAGGAGATGAGCGTGGCCACGCGCAAGGTGCGCACGACGCTGTGGTGCGCCCTGCAGATGACGCTGCCCAAGGCGCCGGCCCCGCGCGACGCCGACAAGGCCCCC